AAAAAAAAAAAAATAGAGATACGACTAGTTAAAGTCACACACTAAACCAAAGAAGGGTGTAAAATAAAACCCTGTAGTGTGTATTTTGACTGAGTAGTCGAAAACGATCTAGTTTAGCTGCCCTTTTAGCTGAAGGGCAACAGAAGTAAACAGGAAACCTTAAAGAGATGATATACCAAAACACCAATACACATATAGTGTAGGATCAACTATATATGCGGAATGGTGATGGAAAAAGGTGTCAGTATACTTAAGTTGATACGGTAGTCAGGTGGGTTCAATACTGCAATTATGGATATGATTATTATTATACCCAAAAGAAAAAGGGGCTAAGGAAAATAAGTGAATGAATGATATGATATCTTCCTGCTACCTAAAAAGTTGCGTGAAGCACAACTGGCCAAAAGTGGTTGTTATGGTGTTAAAAGAAAATTCCAACCCTAACTCCAAATCTAAACATTAAAAAGAATGGAAAATGGATATATCAATTTTCAGATATCGGAGAAGGGGGAAGTTAAGAGGGCAAAAGAAAGTGCAAAAGGCGAAAAAAATTAGTATAAATAAAATATATATATAATGTACGATGTAAAGTGGTCACAAGAGAACACAACAGAAAGCAAATAATGTATCTGGTACATTTACCTCCTCAAATATACAAGTGAATTTTTTTTTTTATTATAATTTTAATGATAGCATGTATTAAATCTTTCTTTTTTTCGTTTAAACCAAGAAATGGAAAAGAAGAAAATCCCTTTAAAAAAATATTCTTTTAAGGGTTTTTGATTAATACGTTTCAGAATTTAATAAGAAATCTTTTTAATGCCGGTAGGAATTATAATTTATTTACATTTATTACACCAAGCTTTCTTTTTTTTACATGCATTAATTGAATTACTGCGAGTCATAGTTTTTTTTGGTTACCGGATATGATTAAATATATTTTTTTTTCTTGTACAAATTTCCTTTTGGAGATCAATGTGTCATTTTCTCTTTCTCTATCGGCTCAACAGTCATAGTTGAAGAGGAAATGACACTTTGAATATCTATATATACTTTTCCTTATTAGGACAACTTCTTTCGTTAGAATGTACAAATTCTTTCCTTTTTTTGGTTTAAAGCCAATTTTGTTTAAATTTTTATTCAATCCGATCCAAATGGTTTTTCGGATTGGCTATTATTATTATTATTTTTTTTTTTTTATTCCGAGTTGATAAAGATCTTGTAGATCTTTTTAGGAAACAATTGAAGAGTATTTATATATATGTTTAAAGCATACATCGAATAAAACGTATAATCAAAAAAAAAAAAAAAAGTACAAAAAATCAGTTATTTATTTATTTATTTATTTGTACTATATTAACTGTATCTCTTTTGTATTAATTACAATAAAATGAACATGTATGCGATCTATTGCATTTGCATACTTTTCTCTTATACAATTTAGGAATAATTTATCACATGTCTTAATTGAATTCATTCGCTTTATCAATAATTTCAATTTCATCATCTAAAACTGGTAAAAATGTAGCAAAAGTTAAATAACTAGTATGACCTTTTGCTTCAGTTGGAGTTTTGGATACATATAAATTTGGTGGATCTTGTTTAATTTTGGGAGATTTTACTGCTTTCGAATTAGATGCTTCTTCTTCGTTACGCTTACGTTTTTTGTCTTGTTGAACTTTGATTTTGGATACGGCATCTTTCACGGTATATATTGGAATGGTATGTACTTCTTGATTTCGAATAAGGCATTCAAACATTTTAATTTCTGTTAATCAATATTAATCAATATTAATCAATGTTAATCAATGTTAATCAATGTAAATTAAGGTTGATAAATGTTTACTTAATGTCAAAATAAAATATGCAAGTATAAAAAATTGTTCATGATAATTACCAACAAACCCATGCTCATTCAATGAAGCACACGCCCGTTGTACTTGTTCAATACATGGACTAAAGCAACAAATTTTACCTATACGTTTTTGCTACAAGGAAAAAATTGTGTATAATTTAATCAACACCGATTCACAAATAATAGAGATAGAAAAGAAAATAATTACCTTAAAAGCAGCTTTAGCAGAAGCAATTGCGTCCCATGGTGCAGGCAAGTCCAAAAAAACTAAATAATTAAATGATGTAAATAGGTTGTCAGAAATCATTTTTCAAAAAAAGACAATTATAATCATACCAGCATGTACTAAATCGGTTATTCCAAATCCATCCTTATAAACATCTCTGCATTCAGTAGTGATGAGATCAGAGAGACCATGTCTTTCAAAGTCTTGTCTATCAAATATTAACAAATGAGTTAATCATATATTTGAATGATTTTGCCTCATGTTCTTCAAAATCCAGTATATCAATACCAGCAAAAGAATAGTCATATATTTTTAATGATTTATCTAAATATTAAAATACTTTGCTGCTTTTGCACGTTCTTCATGATATTCAAACGTATATAAATGACCATTTGGAGAAATAGTTCTAGCTAGGGAATGGGAAAAGGATCCGCTTCCAGTTCCTATAAATATAAAAGATTATTAAATAAATTTATTAAAAATTCAAAAAATAAAAATTTTCAATTAAAAGATTTTAATTAATTACCAGATTCCAATATTATTGAGCCAGGTTTTAAATCAAGATATGTTGTTATAAAAGATATATCTGCCATATATAGGATCTGTGTTCTATGTGGAACAACATGTGTCCATAATTCTGGTGTTGGGTGTAGCAAATACATGAATCCTCTGCCATTGTGGGAAGGCATCTACATTTGAATAAATTTGATCTTTTAATTAAAACCGTTGATCTTTTGAAATTTACGTCTAAACTGGTTGAGTCAACAAAAAATATACGTATATATATATATTAATAACTTTACCTTAGTTCCATATTCCTTCCCAATCATATCTGAATGCCGAAAAGTACCAAACTTATTGTTGTACGTTGACTTAGAATCTATAATTAGCGGTGTCATGTTCTCTCGAGACTAGATTATCAAATAGAATTATACTTAGAAACATATTAATGAAAAAATATAATTGAAAGAAAACCTACTATGTACGCAATGACAAGATCTCCTTCTTCAATATAAGTCTTGTATTTTAGAAAGCTGGTCATGATTTTAATATTAGCGTTAAGGATAATTGCCAGGATACTAATCGCAATATCTTAAAAGATGTAATTCACGTGATTTCACATGTAATCTAAGATTTTATCTACGTATTATCTTTTCGCATGAATAATACAGTACTTCATTAACGGGCATGTGGCAAAAAAAGTTCTGTGATCAGCACAGAAAACTTATTCGCACGATATTTCACTTGTCGTGAGCAAAAACCACTTGATTTGTTAATAATAGAACGATTTTAATGCTCACCGGTATACTATTTCTCAAGAATGACCTTAATAATTATATAGCGTTTAAAGTACTAAGTAAAAATGTTCAGCACCCTAAAAACTCGAACTCTACTAACCTAAAGTCTAATTTTAACTTTAAAAATTTTAAGATAAAAAAATTCTATAAAATCTAATATGGCCGTACAAAGTGTTCTCAAAATTCTAAAAATGACCCGGCAACCCGGCTTAATTTTATTTACCTGTTACTAAAATTTATATATGATAAAACATCGAAAAACTACCCGGATACGTAGTACGTATGAGAACCAATTAATTAAGTTTGTATGGTAATAATCAAGAATAAATTTGTTTATATACTATCGCTATATTAGGCATCAAATTTCTAATACGTACATAATACGTAGAATTATGGTTATACGTAACAAAATAACGTAACTTTTGTAAGCTATATTAAAATGATACGTACAATATGTATAACAGTATATTTTTTTTAATTAAAATTTAATGATTTTTTGGGGGAATTTACATATAAGGGCCCGAAAAATGAAAATAATTACAAATAAGAGTCCAAAGTGAAAAAAATTACATTTAAGTTTAAAAATATTACAGCCAAGGGCCTAAATTTATTTTAACTACTGTAACTACTGTAGATTGCAAGTTTTTAACATTTATGTATTATATGAAAAATTATAACTACTTTTGCGATTTCTAAAATTTATTTTGAGTACAAATGAGTTTTTGCAATTCTAAATAACTTTGATTTACGCGTAATGTTTCATAATGTTTTATAACTAATTTTGGTGTAGGACAGACTTAGTTTAAAACCAAAAGAATATGTTTAACCACAGACAAACCGTATCTTGGTTAAAAGGAGGTTTATAGAGTAGTAAATATACAATGATAATGTTCGAAGAACCACTATCATCATGATGCCTTTATACAGTTATATGTAATTATTTTCACTTGGGCCCTGTAATTATTTTTATTTTTTGGCCCTTATATATATGTAAATTCCCCTAATTTTTTTTACTAGTTTTTACTAATAAAATTTAGAGTTCTAAGTTAAAATATAATCAAAGATTTAAATGTTTTTTTACTCTCAATAATTATTTAACTAGTTTTTGAGATATAGTAATTGCAATATTGTACTGTATTAACACCACTGATATGGTTTAATAGGTCCAATTACAGTAAAAACGTTAACAAATCCTAATATATATTTTATATACTGTATATCTATATATATATATTTTTTTATAAAAAAATAAGTATTACCAAAGAAAACCCATATATTTAATTCTACATCAGGAAGTTTCAAAATCAATAATAAACTCGTTGTTTAATTTAAAAGAACAAACATCGTACCTTTAAAGATTATCATTACAATGTACAACTAGATATTTTACTGTAATTACTTAGTTAAATTCTAGGGTTAGAAAAAAAAAAAAAAAAATATACTGTATAATACTGACTAACTGACTAATGATTCCCACCCTTATATATGAGACAAACTATATAAATCACTGCTGCTATGAATAATCGGTAGATTTTTTAGACGATTTCGCAGATAATTATGGCTAGTTCCCGAAATGAGATAACTATGTTAAGTGGTTTAAAAGATTTATTGTCCAACATCAAACTTGTTCTTACAATGGAATAGAAAACTTTTTGTTTGAAAAAAATTTTTTTTTTATTAATAGAATTTATCGTTATCAGTCAACAGAAATAGCACTATTTGTAACGCTAATGTACATACAATGATATTAAACGATACAGTTCACTATAAAAGTATCGTTTTAGAATAATTATAAGAGTTATTTCCTGATAACAGTAATCAGTAAACAAGTAAAATAAAATACTTACTATTGTCAATCTGCTTCTCTTCAATTTATTTTGTTTCATTTGTTTCTTCCAATTCTTGTTGTTCTCGAGCCCTAAGCTTTTCCTCTATCAATCTTTCAAGCTCTTTTCGTCGTTCAGTGGCCGCTTTAAGCTTCGCTTCAATTTCTGCATTTTCTCTCTCCTGTGCTTCAAGTTTTTTTTCTAGTTGTTTCTCAAGTTCTTTATGCCGTTCTGCAGTTGCTTTGAGTCTTGCTTCAAGCTCTGCATTTTCTTTCTCTTGCTCTGAAAGATTTTTTCTCAGCTCGACCATTTTAGGAACTTCTATTTTTACTTTTTCAAGAGGTTCACTGAAATTAAGCGAATTGTATGGATTTTTTTGGTAATTCTAACATGATTTCAAATAACGGATTAATGATTCATCGTTCTTCCAAATCAATTTTTTCAAAATGCTTCAGACAATGTTGAACTTTTCAACTCCTACACAAACGTTGTAGGATGAATGTTTAACATTATTGGTGTGCGCTCAGAAAGGATTGATTTATTAGATAGTGAAGGACGATGAACTATCATCAAATCCTGAACTAATAAATAGTAAGTTGATGAATGAAAACACACATCAATTCCAATCGTTCGAAATCATCACTATCCTCTTCATTTTCAGATGTCTGTTTTTCGAAAGCTTCTTGGCTTTTTAAAAAGACATGAACAATTACTATGGAAAAAAAAAACGATAAAATAATTTAAAATATAATTTAAAATGATTTAAAACTCACATATCCACTT